ACGTAGTCCGGGAACTTTCCGGACAAACTGTGTATGGCTGCATTCGGAAACACCACTCGTGTGCACTTTATCTTTTTTGCTCATTAGATATAAAATAAAAATAACATGACGCTTGTGTGCACACGAATGAAGTTTTCGAATGTAACCAATATTACACGTGTAAGCGCGGTGCGCGCGTCTTTAAGTTCCCTTCCCCTCAACGCTATCCCCTCCAAGACCGGCAAAGTGACAGAGACAGCACCTTACTGCATATCGTTCTGTTCTTTAGAAGACGTAGACAACTCTTCTCACAGAACGATGGGTCTATTTATATATAAGTCTATGATCGTGTCACGTGCGTCGGTTGCTAAGGCACTCCCACCACTCAACGTAAATTATCTTCTTTCCTGCGTGTTGTCCTTAGAACATACATACTGGAAGGGGCATAGTCTATCTGACATACGTAACAAACGTGTCCGCAACATCTATCTATTCAGGGCCTGCTACAATTAGATATTAGCAATAAATCAGCAATCATAAGTAAGAAATTGACTAATCACAATCGATTATTCTTCTGTGATTTGACTGTGATTGGTCAATTTCTTGCTTCTGACTTCTGATTTATTACTAATATCTTATTGTAAAAGGCCCTTTCTTGTCTGTACGAAATCTGTCAATGCGTGAGAGAATAACCGACTAACGGCCGATTTCTTCATACCTCTCGATAGCTATACTCTGAATAAATTCCTCTGAGAACCAATAAGAAAAACCAATTTTGGGAGATATCTTCTAGATAAAGTTATCGAAACCTTATCTAAAAGTAAAAAATTGGCTGTAAGAAGGTATATATGTAAAAGTATATATACGTCTACCTTGTCATACATATACACATACAACATAATCGACGCATGCGTATTGCGATATCATGTACAGACAAGGATAGATAGATGTTGCGGACAAAAGCAAATTAGCTATGCTCCTTTCAGACTGCGTTCGAGAAGCGCGCTATCAGCGCTATTGTATTATTCTATCTTTATTGCTCATTAGATGTAAAACAAAGATAGAATGACGCGATAGCGCTGATAGCATGCTCTCCAAACGCAGCCAAGGTATAAAAGCCTCTTGCAAAATGCGAGGGAATAGTGATAGCGATAAGCAATAGACACAGAATTCCAATTCGTCGGAAAATTTATCGCTATTGCTTATTCTGTTTTCTGATCTGCATTGATACATGTATATTTTTGTATGTTAGATTCCGCTTTGTTAGATTTCTACTGTTATTTATAAATATAAACTCTTTAAACCTGGTATTATTTCTATCGCTATCGCTATTTCTTCCATTGCAAAAGGCTTATATGTTCTAAGGTGACGTCACGTTGTGGCAACTTCCACGGCTGATTGTAAAGGTATCTTTTTATACAGCAGCACGCTGCGGCAGCAAAACATCACGTGACTCAAATTTTCTAGGACTGCTTCCGTTATAGGTATATTTGCTGCTCTTACCTAACCCTAACCTTCACTCGATGCCATTTTTTGCAAAGTTCAAACAAACAAAAAGCAGCAAAACCGAGAAAATTTTATTGTTGATACTTATACTTTTTATCAAAAAGAACGGTAACGGTGACGAATTACTTTTAAAAAGTAACTTTCCTAACCTTGTATATAGGTAGTATTTTATGGCTGCCTAACCACCTAGTCTTATTTTTGATATTTTTATATTTATTTATTTATTTAGGTCTCAATTTTTTTTATATTTAGTAATTTAGAAAAATAATTTGATTTAGTACTTACCAAATTTGTGTTGCATTACCTCGTACATCTTCAGCTTATGCACATTAACAGTAAACAGTATACTAGGTTCAAATTGAGAAGAAACTGGTCGCGTTCAGCGGATCCCAACAGTTGCAAAGTGGTTTTGGTGCGCTTGTGGCTCTTGGACCGAAATCGGTTAGTCCATAAGCCAGTCTGTGTCTGAATGTAGATAAGAGAAAGAATGGTATAGCAAAAATATATGCTAAGAAATCTAAAAATTATGTTGTTGATTGAAGAAGACCGAGAATAGATACTTTTGCGACGACGAATACTCACTGTTTACTAGAAATAAGATATTGCAATAGGTGGTTCAAACCAGTAATGAAAGATCGAGTCGGCTAACACCAAGAGCACCGAGGTTGATGCGAGCCACTGGGAACACGCACACAAGCGAGAACTGCCGTCCATGTGCGTGACGTCACGCTAGGCACTTCGGTTCGTGGAAGAGTGTGGACATATCGGCTGTGTTCGGGGAGCACGCTATTAGCATAGACATATAATATATAGACTGCGCGTTTGACTGAAAAGATGTCTTCAACGTTGAGAGGGACGACATACTTTGAATAGTAACTCTTTCTCTGTCTATCAATGTCTGTGATGAAATCAGGGCCTACAATTTCACACCACCTAACCATCATACCACCTTACCATCATCCCTTAATTCTCTTTCACTCTTCTTCACCCCCACTATTTTTCTATCCCCACTTTTCCACTACTATTCTATCAATCAGCGAAGACTTCTTTTTCCCCCACTACTTCGCTAGACAAAGATGAGGCTACTGTTCAACACCAGCTGTCTCTCTCAACGTTGAAGACATTTTCTTAACATGGCAAAGGTAGAAAACGCGCAGTTTATATATTATACGTCTATGGCTGTCAATGCTATTGCGTCATTCTATCTTTGTTTTACATCTACTGAGCAATAAAGATAGAATGATGCAATAGCGCGCTTCCCGAACGCACCCATCATGTTCCGTTTTCTTTCTACTAACCCGCTAGTAGGCAAAACCAGACAAGACACGAAGACACGTTCACGTTGCGCGCTTGTTGCGTATGACAACGTAAAATGCTTTTCCAAGATTTACAATCTTGGAAAAAGTACCAAATATTATTGATGATGACATGGATTAATTAAACATTTCAAGATGCATTTATTATATTATTATACTTTTAGTAATGAGTTAACTGTGATAATTTCAAAGGTTTTAGAATATTGAAAAACATTTAATATGTATAAACTATATCAAGAGGCACGGTAGTGCCTCGGGCCAAGTGAATGCGCAAACGAAGTGCGCGCGCGCTGCGCGAGGTACCCCGTGCCTCTTATACGCGAAATTTAGCCGAGAGCCTTTTCGAGATTTTTCGGTTTCAACAACGGCTAAACCGATCGAGTTCGTAGTAGACTCAATCGAAAGTTGAGATCGAGGCACGAAAAAAAGCATTTCGCGGTTTTTTTCCTCCGTGCCTTTCCAACGGAGATATCTGGATACAAAGTCCGAAATGCCGAAAAACTAGGTTGTAAGAATTCGTCCACGTCGTCGGACACGGATTTTCGTCAGCCACCAGAGTGCGTAATGGTTGAGCGTACTTCGCCTCTTGTCGCCACCAGGTGACAACACTTTCGTGTAGATATAGACTGCGTTCCGAGTTACGCATAATAAGCGCGCATTTATCTATAGTACACGGTACATATAGATAGTATAAATAAATACGTGGATATGCGTAAGTCGGGACGCAGCCATAGTCTCGCGCCAAATATCGCGGTAGAACTAATAGTAAACATTTTTTGTTTATAATACAATATAATACAATTATATATATATATACAGGGTGTCCCAGAATTGCCGTACAATCTCTCGTAGGCAGGTAGAAGGAATAAAACTGAGTTGAAAAGTCCTGAACCATTTTTTTCTATTATTTATAATAAAGGAGTAATTATTGAGTAAATCAGGCCAATCAGCGCANACCTTTAGCCAGGCGCACGTTAGTGAGCCGCGCGCCTGGTGTGTGGGAGCGCTCACTGACGTGCGCCTGGCTAAAAGTCTGCGGTGATTAGCCTGATTTACTCAATAATTACTCTTTTATTATAAATAATAGAAAAAAATGGTTCAGGACTTTTCGACTCAGTTTTACTTCTTCTACCTGCCTACAAGAGATTGTACGGCAATTCTGGGACACCCTGTATATATATATTTATATATATATTTTTAATATTCTAAAAACTTTGAAATTATCACCGTTAACTCATTACTAAAAATATAATAATATAAATATATCTTAAGATGTTTAATTAATTCTATCATTATCAATAATATTATGTATTTTTTCCCAGATTTACAATCTTGGAAAAGCATTTTACGTTGTCATATGCAACACGCGCAACGTGAACGTGCCTCCGTGTCCCTTCTAGCGGGTTGGTAGAAAGAAGACGGAACGTGATATGTCCGCACTCTTCCACAAGCCGAAGTGCCGACCATGACGTCACGCACACAAACGGCGGTTCTCGCTTGTGTGCGTGTTTCCAGTGGCTCCCACTATCTCGATGCTCTTGATGCTAACTGGCTCGATCTTTCATCACCATATATATAATACTTCTATATTGCTAGTACGGTGCCGATCTGAAGTCCAAATGTTACGATGCAGACAATATAGTAGCCTCTCTCTCCAGCTGCTTTGTGCGCATGCGGTGAACATTCAAGCACGTTTGGACATTTCTCTAGAGCCTCTTGCACAATGGAAGGAATAGCGATAGCGATAGAAATAACACAGTTTTTAACACAGAATTCCAACTCGTCGGAAATTTTATCGCTATTTCTTATTCCGATTTTCTGATCTGCATTGATACATGTGTATTTTTGTATGTTAGATTCCGCTGTTCCTACCTTTATTTTTAAATATAAACTCTTTAAAATTTTTGTTATTTCTATCGCTATCGCTATTCCGTCCATTGTGCAAGAGGCTTCTTTCTCGCGTTCTTTCCAATGCTTTGTCTCGCTCGCACTCGCTTAGTAGACGCGCCTGCGCATAATGACGCTCGACTATCTATGCCCATATTTGCACTTCGTGCGTCTCCCTTTCTCGGGCCTTGTGCCTCTCATTGCGAAGATACGCGACTAGCCACGGCTGTTCATCACTAATTCAAACTCGCCTCTTGTGAGAAGGGGAACGCTGGTTACAGCGCCGCCTATGCTACCTGCCAGGAAGTAGTAAACTAAAGAACGAGTGGAGAGAGGTTGCCGCGGGTACACTTATTGGTTGTTCTTTTTCACTGACTGGTCACGCTAGATGAGAGTTTATTATTTTTCTTTAAACTTAAAAGGAAAAAGATAAACCCTGAACTAGCGCAACTAGTTCAGTGAAAAAGAACAAACTATATATTAAAAGTAAATATAAGTACTAAAAGTAGATATTGAAAATAAATTTATAAGTTTTGTGAATAATATGTTGCAAAGTTTATTTTATTATTATTATCTTACTTTATTTTATGCACACAGGGAATGTTATTGAGAAGATTAAAACCAATATATTATATGTACTAAAAATACCATATTCTTGATTTTTTGTAAATGTTTACATTTACAAACATTAAAATGTAAGTAAACTACTTCAAGAAATAGTATATAATATTCTAATATTTAATTGTGTTACACATTTTTGTTAATTTTACATTTACACAAAATAGTTTTTATACGCATAAAATGTTTTACAAAACTTATATTTGCGATAGTTATCACTAATCATTCATAATTACTAGTAATCATAATAATCACCACAATACAAGACTGATATAGTTGATTAAATGCTGCAAGGTTTAGCACAATACACAGCGATGCAAGAGAAAAACCAAAAAAATATTACGACACGTACAGAACATACAGACAGAATACACAATACTTGAGGATATTGGATACCGACTATAGAGACCTGTAAACCGACGTTTTTATAACCTAAATTTCTTTATTTTCTAATTTTATTTACTGCACAACATTAAAAGCTTCTACAAAAGTAAATAAATATACAAAACTATATAAAGCTTTTGAAAATAGATATATAATGCTTTTTTGAACTTTTTTTTTCATTCATAATGATAGTATATGGTATCAGATATACATCATCTCACTATGACGTTGTTTTCATCAATTAGATTGTTGTGCTCTCCGTCACAACGGGTTCTTTTGGATAGGAGATGTGCAGGAGCAGGGGGAAGAGTCCACTTGTTTCAGACTTAACAAGTCTTTATTTCAATCTTTTACACTTCTTCTTAACAGTACGACGTCTCGTGAACTAATTCCGACGCTGTCTTCTCGCAGCGTCTTTTTATACTGTTTTTGGGGGCACTGGGCAGCATTGCTTTGCCCGCATGACCTCGTGTCACAGCAAAACAATGTTGCACCACCCGCTCAACTCTGCTTGATCAGCACGCGGAGACAAATCTGTAACTCCCGCTGATCAAGCAATACGTGCTTAACTACTTATCTTTTTAAAAACAGATTGCGCCAGCTAAACATATATTAAAAAGTAACAAGTGTTTCGTAACTTGAAATAACAATAATACTCTTATTACTACACTATTTCTTAACTTAGTAATTCTGGCACAACAAGATAATCAAACCATAGTCTAAATGTCTCATTAGACTTTTTTGTCGTACTTATGACGCTTGTTTATTGTAAATATACAATAAACAAGCGTTTATGTACATAAGGTTAGAAATAATTCTACATACATGAATATATAGTGAAGTTATAGAAAAAAACTGTATAAGAAACAATTTATGCTGAATTTTGATATTCCAAAGACCAAGCGCCAATTCTTAGCACAATTTACTTATTTCTCTAGAAGCATTTTAGATTTCATGCAGTAAATACAACACCAAACGTCATAGGAGAAAGTCGGTTTACAGATCTTTATAAATCCAGTACCCTCTTAACAACAAGGTTAGCCAATGAGTTAAGGTCAGATGGTGCGGAACGTGATTGGTCGTGACTTGATTCCGTCGATCCTGTATTTTTGTTCCGCAAAAACATATTTTTATGCGGAACCGACTGAATCATAACCTAATTGCAAATACAAATGTACAATTTTACAATTTTCCGGCGTAATTTTTGCTGATAAAATGCATTTTTAGTTTGCTTTAATTTTTTAAACAGCCTGC